AAAAGAAAAAAAAAGTCATCTGATCAAGTCAACTCATTTAGATATTTGGGAGTATCTTTTGAACCCACCCATTCTAAAGAGCCTTCAAGAAAGCAATCTCAACAAAGGTAATTCTGTAAGAATGCAATGATGCTGAGAGGCAACCTAAAATTTTTCAGGTCCCATGGTATGAAACTCTATAATCTCCAATGAACAGTTGTCCAAATGTTGAGCAAATTCAAAGCTTTGAGTTGTTATTTATTTTTGCTTGTAGTATTATTTAGTGTATTCATAAGCCCTCTGGCATCCAAACTCCAAATACTAGATGAAAGAACTATTTGGAGAGAAGATATACCAGGATACCACATCGTCACATAGAATGTCTACGCATATCTGGTGTCTGAAGTTTAATAGTCTCTTCAATCAGTAATTAATTGTATTTCAACAAGTCTTTATTCAATTCTTACTATGTTGACTGCAATTCCACAGGCATGGTGGGAGAAATAAATAAAAGAAATAGTTCCTACTGTCAAGGAGTTTACAGTCTAGCAGAATTAACTTCAAATAATTATTATACTGAGAGAAATAAGAAAACATCAATTCCCAGTTACATGATTGAGTCATTTTGGATCTGATTTAGATGAAAATTTGAGGCCAGTACCATAATGGGATGGCACTTTGGCATCGTGGGAGGAGGTGGAATATTGTGCACATGGTGAATTGTATGTGAATTGTAGTGGCCAGTGGATAAACTGTGGTAGACCGTCTCCAAAGATGACTGCCATCATTCCCTTCAAGTAATGGAGAATAATTCCCTCCCCCTGAATCTTGGCTGACGCTAGTGACTTGCTTCACTAAGAATGTAGCGGAAAGGACCTTCTAGGAGTTCTGAAGCTAGGTCCGAGAAGCCTTGCTGCTTCCACCCAGGTGTCTTTCTTGCGTTCCGCTATGGGTAGATTCCTGTGACAACTACATGCAATAAATCAGGGGCAGAGAGAAACTGAAGACAGAAGAGCAGGAAGTCATTGCAGTAGTTCAAGTAAAACATTAAAAAAAAAAAATCATAATAGAGGCCTTAAAACCAGAAAGTAATAGGAAGACAGGAGACGAAGAATGTCAGAGGTGAGCAGAGGGGAAAATCCAAAACACTTTCCAGCTGATGAAACTTAAAAGAACAAGAAAAGGTAGAAGTCAAAGTGGGTTCTAGAGGCTAGAAAATTTATGACTTGTTCAGGGTGTCCTAACTCTTAACTCTTAATTGTACCTGCTTTCCATATAAAGACTATTTTTCAGCACCTAGACAACCAAAAAGAGAATGATGCTATTAATAAAGATTAGGATCCAAAAAGAAAGCACACATGGAGAAAACAAGAGGAAATTAAATTAGAGGTGCTGGGCAGCCATCCAGGAAGAACCATTACAACAAGCACATGACAATGGAGGTACTGAGTGCCTTTTCTGGAACTGAGTACTTTTAATATCTGTTTGATACTCTAAAGTCACCCAAGCCCCAAAAACAAGGACTTCTTTTGTGTCTCCACATGGTTGGTGGTTTCATTTGAAGTTAATCCCTTCTTTTTTCTGGCCAAAAATCCCTTACCAATAAACGCCTTGTTAAACATTAAAAGCACTTAATGGTAAATTTGTAATGGGTTTGAATAAATTGCTCTCAAACTAAAAGTTTTCTACTTGAAAAATTAAATTTTCAGATTTACAGAAGTTTCAGATTTTAGTTGTATACTCCGTGGCATTTCAAATTATCCACATTTAAAAAAAAAAGTTCCTTCACACGTTGTCAAAACACATGATTTGGCGTCCTGTGCTGCAGTGATATTTGCTTCCATCCTGCCTCAAGTACTAAACACTGAAAGGAGACTGAAATCCCTGCCTGTCCTAGGAGTTTACCTTCCATCCTCTATGTCCTCCACGTCCCTAATCCTGTAAATCTTTGTACTACAGTTTTTTTTTTTTTACAATTGGGCCTTGGAGGAAAAGAAACACCTCGGTACATTAAAGGATTATTTAAGGCTAGAAAATTTATGACTTGTTCAGGGTGCCCTAACTTTTAACTCTCAATTATACCTTCTTTCCACATAAAGACTATGAATGCATATACTATAGAGCTTACCCAACCTTGTGAACTCAATCAGGCTCACAGATATGTACCACATCCCCATGAGCAGATTAGCCACTCCTTTTTTTTTTTTTAATTTTATTTATTTATTTGACAGAGAGAGAGATAGCGAGAGCAGGAACACAAGCAGGGGGAGTGGGAGAGGGAGAAGCAGGCTTCCCGCCGAGCAGGGAGCCCGATGCGGGACTCGATCCCAGGACCCCGGGATCATGACCTGAGCCAAAGGCAGACGCTTAACCACTGAGCCACCCAGGCGCCCCTAGCCACTCCTTTTTAAAGACTCCCAAACTAACTTATGTTAGGTTATAGCTATAACTAATGTTGCCAAACAGCATGATCAAAGTCATTTACATGTATTATTGAAATTGTGTGAGTTAGGGGCGCCTGGCTGGCTCAGTCATTAAGTGTCCGCCTTTGGCTTGGGTCGTGATCCCAGGGTCCTGGGATCGAGCCCCACATCGGGCTCCCTGCTCAGCGGGAGGCCTGCTTCTCCCTCTCCCACTCTCTCTGCTTGTGTTCCCTGTCTTGCTGTGTCTCTCTCTGTCAAATAAATAAAAACTTTAAAAAAAAATAGCTATGAAATTGTGTGAGTTAGATCAGTATTTCTCAGACTTTTCACATAACTCCTTAAAGACTCTTTAGACATTTTTTGTTAATCATCCCCCCATACAATTTTAATACACTTAAAAGTATATCTGTTATTGTACTATTGAGTACTATTTTTATGCTTTATATATTTAAAAAAATACTTTTTTTCAAACTCCCCAAGAACCAATTTTTACCCTCCTAAGGAGGATGTCTCTCTCACTGAGAATGCATGTTTTATTTAGATTAATAAATTGTTGCTCAAACAAGAATTATTCTTATCGCCAAAATAATGCTAAGCCTTAGATCATTATATAGGGACTCATGAAGAACATGAGAAAGACTCATGACCATACTCCTGAAACTTTCAACTTCAAGACTGAGAAGTGCAATGATATCACTTTCAGTATCTGCTAAATAAAACTATGAAATTCTTCCATTTTAAAGGCCACTGTCATTCCTCCATTCTTCTCTGATTTTGTTGAGAGATCAGCTCAGATTATTTGTGGCTAACAAGTAAAATATAGATTTTAAAACCAGAAGTATAAGTAGTTCTATTCATGAGGTCCTCAAGTACAAAACAGATAATAAAGATACAAATAAGAACTTGACAATCCTAAGTACTCCCAATTCACCTAACTACAGAAACAGTAGTAGCACTGACATTTGGTAGAAAAGAACTGTGAAGGAGTAATATTAAGATGAAGAACACTATTTAAATACAAACTGTTTAAAAGGAAATATCAGAAAGCAATCATTTTACTAATAGTCCCCAAAATGCTATTTACGTTGATGTATAATTAAAACTCCTCAATATTAAAGCTCAAAATATATTTCTTCTTAGTTAATACACCTGGATCTCCTTTCTTCCTCCAGCATAAGTAGAGCTAAAATACCACTTACTCCTGGCTAAAGCAAGGACAATAGAGGAAGAAGAAAAGCCATAGGGTTTGTAACCCATTAGGGCTCCATCCCACCCACCCTACCATTCACCCAGAGGAAGACTAATGGGGTGGGGAAGGGGCATAAATTATTTATAGCAAGCATAAGGCATTCTTACAGTCAGCAGAAACAAAGATCTTCCCCTACCAAAATAGAAAAAGGGGGATTATGCCTAATACCAGAGTTTATTAGGGGCAAAATAGTTAAGGAACAGCCACACAACCTCAACTACATCAAAATATTACATATTTTAAGACAAAGAAAACATTTTGTAATGGGAGTATCATTACTCTCTTATGACTTGGCAACCTGAAAGCTGTTAAGCCTGCAACAGGACTTCAAAGTTGAGACTTAAACTGTCTTTTCCAGTTAATCCCTTCTTTTTCTGGCCCAAAGAAAGAAATGTAGGATTTCTTTACCATTACTTTAGTGATACTTTAGTGTTACTAAAAAATACCTGTCTTCTTGTTCTAAGGTATGAGCTGTATACATTTTTAAGTCTCTACTTCCTGAAGAGATTTAGCAAACTAAGGCTTTATTTTCTGAGTAACCAAAATGTCAATTTTATTAGCAATTGTAAATTTTCTGTAATACTTTGATTCCATTTATTTTAAAATGATTCTAATAAAGAATACCTAAAATCATGAATTATCCTTTACAATTATTTTTTTTATCCTACAATTTGTACATACTAAATTTCTCACTTTAGATAGCAAAAAGTTATATTATATAAGAATATAGTGTGTATCTGGGGATAGTGGGTACTGACCTAGTGATATTTGGTCATTTAAAACAGAAGACTTGGTTAAATGATTACCAATAAAAACACAAAACATTTCTTTATAAATCAGAGGCAGCCACCAATTAATCGCCCCATTTTCAGGTCAACTGAACACCCTTCCCATTTGCCTTAACATAAATCCACAATGCCAAAATGAGACAGTCTGGCCAGCACAATGACAGTTATCTAGTAAGCAATTTATAGTAGGAACTTTTCATAATTAAGTTTCTTCCTTCATTTTAAAAATGGGATCAGGGATCAATGAAAAGATAAGTTAACAAAGGGTTAAGAAAAAACATAATCATAAATCATATTTATGATCCCATACCAAATATCTGTAAAAAAAATAGTTGTAATTGTTCATTCAGCAATTAATGTATCAAACACTGTGTTAACTATTAACATTGAACATGACAGTCATGGGAGAAAAATCCATTTCTTCAAAAAATTTTTTTAAATTAATAAATTTATTAAACAAAATACTGCCTCAAAGTATATCCTGGCTAGGGAAAAGAAACATGAAAAGCAAAAAAGTCAAGTCAGAACAGTAGCAAAGTGTATGAGAAATTATGTATTTACCTTGGCTCTGCACTCAGTGTTATTACAGTTTTTTGTGGTAGAGAACCTTGTGAGTTTTGTTTCAAATCCTGTAAAAATAAACAAAAATTTTTTATTTTACTTTTAAAACTTAAGTTTCAAAACTAGCTATGTAATAGTACTTACAAAAATCCTAAAAAGGACACAATAGTGTCCTCCTTCTAGCTACATAAAGGTCCATCAAAGTTCAAAATAAGTAATTCTTTTGTGTGTGCATTTTTATGGGTGTGTCTTTAGACTTCAGTACGGCATGTGTTACACGGACTACTAGAGTCCAATTAGGAACCAAGTAAATCAAAGTTCTAAAGATCATTTTGCAAAAAGTTTCACTATTTTACCTTTGTATCACAGGTTTCATATCCTTAAGCAATGTATGTCCATTTATTGGATTTTTTACTTCAACATGAATATATGTAACCATAATTTGATTGCAAACATCAGTATATGAAAATACTGAACTTACTATCTCGGATTCCAGATGTGTAAGTTCCAATTACATGTAAAATTTCAAAGCCTATGGCTCACAATAGACTCTAATGATAAAATATTACAGTTTTAAAACATCTGAGTTGCCAAATCGAAGTCTAAAGAGGTTTGCAATCCCCCATTTTTTCCCACTGTTCTTCCTTGCTGCTGAAGAGTATATTCTTCCTCTCAGAGTATGTTCTGTTTTATTGGCTCCCCTGATCCTAACCATGATACAAGCCAAGGCAGGAATCATCCCATCTAACAGATAAATGAATGAGGGCTCACAGATGTTAAGCAACTTTTTCAGGCCCATGCAATCAGGTACAGAGGTGGGGCTAATAGCTAGTCTTTAATTCCTCAACTGCTCCTCTGCTGTTACACACATCTGAGCACTGCTCACAGCGCTCCATGGGCTCATCCTGAAACCAGAAGACAATTCAGGGGCTTCTAATTAAAGCCAAGCAAAATAACTAATTACAGCGTCTAGTTACCTTACAGTACCATATTAATAGTGTTCTCAAAGCTGTATGTTCCACATAATGAAGTTCATTAGTTTTCATGCTTAGATTTAGTCAGAACAAAATATACACCATAAATCAAATACAGACACACTTACAGGAAAGAAGAACACATAGGTATTTCATATAAAATGATACAAATTCTTTCAAATCATGTATAAGGAAATCACTATTTTTCAAGGTTTCTTTTCACTCAGCTTCTCACCCCCTTTTCTGAATCAAGAACAAAAGAATCACACATTTTTATGATAATATAAAAGGTAGCAACTAACCATGTCTAGGAGGTTATCAAAAGAGTAAGAGTTGTACGAGTTTTTGTCCTTCAAAATAAGAAGTAGTGCAGAATATCCAATTATCTTCTTCAAATTCGTTAATGAATGAAAGAGTCTGTGAACCAAAAATTTTTACTGGTCTGAGAAGCAATTCAAACATCAGTATACAATATTTTCAGTTTCTTTAATAATGGCCAAACCACCATCACCCTGTATTCACAAAGTGAAACCTATAATGAAGCTATAATGAACGGACTCTTCTTTGCCCAGAACTAAGTACTTAGGAAAAAAATGTTAGTCAAAAGATTTCACTAATAAGGATTCATTTAAAATAGAAAATTTTCTGTATACACCTGAAACGTGTAAACTTAATCAAACTACCGATACTTTCTACAAGTATCATGCCAAATACTAAGAATATTCAACATGACCACTCCAATAGCTTTAAGGCTTTGTTACCAAAAAAGTGATTTGGTCCTTTACTTTAGAAAATTCTTTAACAAATGTTGAAACAGCAAAAGAAAGCATGAGATTAACTGTCACTCACAAGAATATTCGTTCAGTATACATACTTCAAAAAACTCAAATTCCTGAAAACTTCAAATAAATATTTTGTTGACTTTAGTTTCATGTTCTTGTTCAAAAAAAGAGAAAGTTTTCACAGGTCTGGATAATGAAATTGTCTTTCTCCTTGTTACTTTTCTTGGTCATTAAAATTGTTAATTGTATTCCAATTGTACTTTTATGTCTGAGGAACCAAAGAGATGCGTATGAATCAACCTACTCAAGATCAATTCTGGAATATAATCTTGGTACAGTATCAACTATTGCTGAAGCACTACACGTGGGAAAAGAATTTGAAGGTTTTTTTTTTCAAGTTCCATCTTGTTTCTTTAAAGCTTTATAGAACAGGTAACCCTAAGTAAAGCCACTGAAGAAATCTGTCGAAAAACTTGGCTAAACATGCTTTCAATCAGCCATTGAATCTATTATGTTTATAGAGTGATTATATTATTTTCCCCAATACAGGACGCAATTTTGGACCTACATGTTAAGAACATTTTTGTTGGCATGCAACGACAAAAAAAATGTTTAAGAGAATTAAAAATAACTTCTTTTTGCAGAGCACTGAGATTACTTTCAAAGATGTAAGTGATCACAATCAGTAAGTTAATTAACTATGCAAATGTGTTATACATACATAGTGTTAAAGTCTTCTGCATGTGAGTTCAGGCCATCATCCAGCTAAGTTTCTTAGTCTATTCAAATGTTTTCCTAGGTGATAACAAGTGTTTTCACCAGACTAAAAGACAATATGAGTGACTACAATTCAGTTATAGGAACAAGCCCCTCGATTTAAGTTTATTTTTATCTATATGGCAATCTTTATTAGGCTGTCAGAACCTGAAGAATAAAAGTCATGTTGTACTCCCCCTGCTTGTGTTCCCTCTCTCACTGTCTCTCTCTCTGTGAAATAAATCTTTAAAAAAAAAAAAAAGAAGGGGCGCCTGGGTGGCTCAGTCGTTAAGCGTCTGCCTTCGGCTCAGGTCATGATCCCAGGGTCCTGGGATCGAGCCCCGCATCAGGCTCCCTGCTCAGCGGGAAGCCTGCTTCTCCCTCTCCCACTCCCCCTGCTTGTGTTCCCTCTCTCACTGTCTCTTTCTCTGTGAAATAAATAAATAAAATCTTAAAAAAAAAAAAAAGTCATGTTCTCCATCAGCTAAAACCTTATATGTATTACAGTGCACTGGAGCTTAAACTGAGGGAATGCCACACATCAATGTTTGTATCCTAAAGGCACATGCACAGTCTTCTAACGAGGTAAGCACTAAGAACTGGTAGTGTATTCCCCAAATGCTTTCTCAGGATGCATAAAGCCATTCTGTTTAAAGCAAAACAAGACTAAACACAGTAAATAAGTTTGGGAAACATTGGGTAAAGCAAAATTTTAATGTTTCAACAATTCATCATTGTGGGATTTCCCAGAGCCTCTAATTTTCTAACATGCCCGTATTTTATTATCACTGAACCGGACCATCACTTAGAAATCACAGTTTTCTACTCTGGTATCATTACTACTGTTTCAGGCAGATACTATCATGTTTGTCAGTGAAGTTTGATCTATACATATGGGCCCTCATACTTACCCTTTGTTCATTTTTTTCTCCTACCTACCTTAACTACAACATAGAAATAGGCAGAATTCTAAATATTTCTGTAACTGATCTCATTACCATTTCTTCTCTTGCACATAGCCCCATTATCCACTTTTAGGCTGAACATCCATCACAAACACTGTCCCCCTCTAATTCATTTTTTCATGCCATGATTAGAATTAACCTTCAAATAGCCATGATGTATTCTTGTTCTCCAGGTGATAATTATATAAACATTCAATCTACTGTTGAGAGCAGTACTCTAAGTAAGAATCACCTTTAGATGGCAGAAGAGAAAGCTAGAAGGGTCTGGACCCCTGTCGGCACTGTAGAGCTGCTATACCTGAACTGGGGACCTGCAGACTTCTTCCACGTGGCATAAAAATAAGTAGGATAGGATTTATTCAGTTTTAAGTTGTTATTACTAGCAGCCAAATGCAATCCTTAACTCATACACTTGTTCACAGGGACACTTCTGCCAACATTTGAATAAACAGTCAACAGTCTAAGAACAAGAGAGCACCCAATGCTAGCTGCCTCTTTGTTTATAACTCTCTAACTTGTGTTTTGAAATTTCCTACTTAAAATGTCTATGCTAATGACTTGATAATTGTGTATGACTTCTCAATGAAGTGTGAAGTGCTCGCAAAGCAAATTTACAAATGTCAAGTATAATTTGAGAATTATTGTCTTTTTTCTCTAAGATGCAATTTTGTATGGTGATGTTTTTATAAGCTAAAAGCATAACCAAACATATGGAGGAACTAATGACAGCCCTTCTGGAAAGGTTATGAGATAGAAAATGTTCAGTTGCAAAAACTCAATGACCTGTACCCAAGTCTCTTTCAATATGGCAGCCAGAGAGAGAGCAGGTAGACAGTATAGGAGAATGACTTCTTCATTTCCTCTTAGGAACTCTTTTCTGAATATAAGCCTCACTTTTAAATTCAATAAACCAAGAAGACAGGAGCAGGTGAAAAGGAAAAAAATGGAGGATCTGACCTTATTTTAAAAAATGCCTTCTGTGGGAGAAAAACCAATTATCATTATCAGCCAATGAATGTTTTCCATTTTAAGCCCAGCTCAACCTCAACAGATGCCAAATACATTTGCCACAAGAAAACTGAGAAGATATTCAAGATGCTACCATGAATATATTTTCAAGGATTCAAGTCAACTAATGAAACCTCAAGAATTTGTTTTTCAAATATCTAGAAAGGCAGTCAAAATACTATAACTAAAATTTTAATTAACACTTATAATGATTAGTGATATCAGTTGTGGATCAATCTGTAATGTTGACTTTATATGTTGTATACACTTTTAACATATGGGAGAGAGCATTTATTAAAAAAAGAGGTTCACTTCTTAAATCTGTATTATAAGAAAATCAGAGCACACTTTAACAATTTTAAAATATTATTGAAGTACACCATTTTTGATAGGAAAAAAATCTGGAAGAAATAATAACTAAGCCATAATGAAATAATAGTCAAAACTCCTTCCCCAACATAGGAATCTCCTCTACAATGATCCTAATGAATGGTTACCCAAACTAGAGCATGATGATGGAAATCTCACTATCACAAAAGGTAAGCCTTTTGATTATTGGGAAGCACTATTTACAAAGTCTCCTGCTGTTCTGAGCTAAAGCCTGTACTCACTGTTTCCAATCCTGCAATGTGAAAATAACTGAGCTTCCCCTCCCTCACTCATCTCACAGACCTTCTAAGAGTTGAAGATGGTTTTGATATCAATACCCAAGCCAACCCTTCTCATCCCAATTCCTTATATCATCTATATATGTCAAAGTTTCTAGGTTCTTCTACTTCCTGGCTAAACTCTAGGCTGAGAACAACTGGATATGAAGTAGGATGAAATTAAACTGCTATACAATCAAGTATGGCTCTTTATCTCCTTGGATTATAGCTATGATTTATTTGATACCAAATCCCTGGTCAACAAGGTAACCCCAATTACCACATTATACTTGGGAGAAAACAGAATCAGCTTTATAATAATGTTTTACTACTCCATTTGCAGAAATGCACTGCAATAAAAAGTTAGGACAGCTAGTACATTCTCAATACAATTCTTGAAAAATGCTTTGAATATTGATGTTGTTTTTCTATAGCAATACTTATAAGGGATGTCATTATTGATATGGTCTGATGTACATTAACAATTTCATCAAAGATATAAGCCTGTGACCCAAAATTAAAAAAAAATTGTTTTATAATCACTTTTTAATAATTATATTACCTGGTACCATAATCCACAACCACCCAATCTTTTGCAGTTCCTGTGATAGCATCATGATGTTGAAACAGTCCCAAATTTCTTCTGGCTTCTGTCAGTGCCATGTAATGGGATGATGAAAGAAATTTACTTATCTTGTATTTCTGAGCTTGTTTCAGGGCGAAATAGTAAAGAATTTCAGCAGCCCTAATTGTATAAAACAGTCATTAATTCTTATTTCAAAACAAACATTTACTATTTAAAATATGTGGTACTGATACAATTTTTAAATGCATTTTTTAAAAAATCCACATTTCAGCACAATTGATAAAAAAGATATTGATAATAAACATTCCTATAAAACCATCTAGGTATCCATCTAATATATCTAGATTATCAATCATCAGAGAACATCATGTCTAAATTGATATAAAGGACGCTTGTTCTAGATGGTCCTGGAAAGAAGCCAGTGCCCACTGGCAGCGAGATAGGTGTACTTATGTATAACATAGTGAAAAAAAAAAAAAAAAGCTCGAAACAGCAGTAAAAAGTGGATAATGGTTGCTGCCCTTTCTTCTCTCCAAGATCAGCCCAGACACATACCAGGAACTTCATCACCAGAAAGCCATTCACTCTCACATACATACATTAAAGGAGAGACGGTGCAGAAATGGTCACATGAGTGGGAGACTAACAGTGAAGGAGAGGCAGAAAGCGATGGCCTGACAGCTCAGTGACAACAGCTAGTCTCTGCGCTGAATGAGAACATTCAACAACTAGAGGGAAAGTAACAATATAAACTGAAAGGTGATAAAACATATGCTGTCGCTTCTCGTTTATTTTAAAGAAAAAACACTTGGGCTTACGAGTAGTTTTTGAGCAAGAATATGGGGACTTATCATTTTCATGCTTTATTTTTTTCATCAGAGGATATGGTTCAAGACAGGTTTCGAAAAAGTTCTTTAAAAAAGAGATATGGCTTGGGGTGCCTGGGTGGCTCAGGCGTTAAGCGTCTGCCCTCAGCTGAGGTCATGGTCCCAGGATCCTGGGATCGAGCCCCACATGGGGCTCCCTGCTCCGCGGGGAGTCTGCTTCTCCCTCTCCCACTCCCCCTGCTGTGTTCCCTCTCTCTCTGTGTCTCTCTCTGTCAAATAAATAAATAAAATCTTTAAAAATAAATAAATAAAATCTTAAAAAAAAAAAGAGAGAGATGGCTTGATGAAGTAAAAAGTTTAAGAAGGTTCTTTATGCCAAACATATTAAGAAGGATGGAGAGAAAACCAAGGCAGCTTGAAAATGTATCACAATATAAGGAAAAGGATAAATTTAAAGTACTCAAAAAAAAAATTGTTTTAAATTTTGAAATAATTAGAAGATACTAAATAATCTCTGCCTTTAAATTCTAATCTTTCTAAAATTCATGGCAGGAGAAACACTAAGTTTGAATTAAAGAAATTGTGTATATATGTTCATCTATACCCATAGCACATATTCCTGGCTTTGCAAAGAGTACCTATATACATATAGATATCCCAAAATGTAAAAAGGGGGTTTAAAAAATATTTTCTTCTTTATACTCTTCTATCCTATCCAAATGTTTTACAAATGAGCATCAAGATGAAATATCTATAATCAGACAATAAACTTATTTTCAAGTAAGTTGATTACATTTTGAAATTTGTCATTATTATATGGTTTTTGTCATTTTATTTTAAAGCAGAATTTTCAAAATATATTATTACTCACACTAAGTACTTCACCTTAAATATGTTCAATAAATTAAAATTGAATCAATATTTGTAACTCTTTGTCACTAAAAAATAGTTGACACTTTTAAAAAAGTGCAGTAGTCCAAAAGAATCTCTACATTACTTAGTACTTTCTCTGTTTTTATCATAGGTAGTTTAGAGTAACATAATAGAGAATTAATATTCTATTGGGCAAGAATGCATCAATCTCTCTAATATAGAAATACTATTTTATTACAAATACAGGAATATGTATCCATCTGGCACATTTGTGAATATCCCAAAAAAAGGCAAAGATCAGGCTTTTGAAATAATGCTGACAGCATGAAACAGTAAAAATAAAAAAAAAAAACACTACTATACCAGAGTACAACTCTGGGAGAAATTCATGATCTTTATAAAAGGGCTTTCCAAAATGTACTATCTCTACCAGTACGGAGAAGAAGGTATATATAACATGACTTTTTATTTTTAATACTGAGATTCATCATGAAAATTAATCATCATGAATTCATGATCTGAACTAAGCTGAAAGTGAACTCATCATGAAAATGAATTAAGCTCCCACGCTACGCACACATAGAGAGAGCCCCAGGAGCCCCCAGGGTGGTTCATCCTTACCAAAAAGCAACAGGACCCACAAAGATAGCTACTAGCCACGTGTGATTATTTATTTACATTTAAATCAACTCAAATTAAAGGAAATTAAGAGTTCACTTCCTCAGCCACACTGGTCACATTTCAAGTGCTCAACAGTTACATGTGGCAAGTGGCCATACTAAACAGTGCAGAAAACAGAAACAGAAGATTTCTACCACTGCAGAAAGTTCTGTTGGACAGTGACTGAAAGTTCTACTGGACAACGCTGGTTAGAGCGTTTTTGTTTTCTCCTGACTTTTCTGCTTTCTCCCTGTCACTATGCTTTTTCAGCCAATCACTCTGCCGCCATCAGTTCTCATCTCTTTCATGTTTTGCTCTTCTAAGCAGAGAATCACACCTATAGAAATACGTTTCAATAAATAAGAACTGAGGTGGAGCCTCTGAAGTTCTCCCACATATAAAATACATTAGTTTTAGATTGTGTACTTTGAGGCCCATATTTTAGCCACAGAGAGGCCCTATTTGTTCCTTGTGACCCTTGCTTGTTTCCAGCAATTTAGTCTGTCTGGCTACTGACCTGCAGACACACATAACAATGCCACTGGATATTATCACGGTGTGCAAACAATACCAGTAATTAATTAGAAACATATAAAACATAAGATACAGGAGAAAGTCTAATCAGATAAACTGCTTTTTTCAGAACAAAAGCCCATATAATAATCTGATTATGCACTGGAGACATAGCTCTGATTGCATTAAAATTTCACAATTACATTAAACACATCCCGATACTGCATACATGTTGTATATTATGCAAAACTCTATGCTATGCTATGTGCTATGATCACATAAAAAAGGTGAATAATTAATGTAGCTTTCTAAACGTAAATTTTGTACCTTAGATGGAATTCCAATATCCTATCCATTCGTTTGTAGAAGGGTCTGGATGTAAAGTAGCCGCTCCAGTAATGATCGTCTCGGTCAGCATAAGTGAAAAAATCTCCACTTAGAACAGGGAACATGGATTGGCTATTCTTTCTAATGGTTACATCTTCTTTATCCAGTGCATCAAAATAATCTGATAAAGTCCCAAACTGTATCTAATAAAAAAAAAAAAGTGACACTTATTCATCTCTACCTTAAAATTACTTCTAGCACTAAAAGGAAAAGTTAACAGTAAATATTTAAGATGCGCTTTCCAGTTAAGATGAAATTCTAGCTCAGATTTTACAAAACTCAAAAGCAGGGGGAAAAATATACAGTAGCTCTTTCACTTGCATCAGGTCCCAAATTAAACTAAAATAAAACTTACACCCCTAAGGGGTTAGAAGAACTACTGAGATATACAAATCTGTGGATCTGAAAACACCTTACCAATCTCCAGAATTTCAAAGTGTGCAAGGGTCAGGGAATAGAATAATTCAGAGATGAATAAAAGATGGGAGGAAGCAGCAAAAATAAAACATTTACATACAGTTTGGTTAACCATTAAGTATTTTCATATGTCATATGCACATACACTCCCCTGGCCTCCCCATCCCCCTTGCTTGAGCTCTCATAAGGGAGACTTTAAGAACAGCAGGTCATTAAAAAAATGGACTTTCTCTACCAGCAGGTAACACTGAATAGAAGTAAAACACAAAGAGTGACAAGAACTGCAAGGTTGACTGCTCAAATGAAAAGGTCTTTTGACTAATGATTTAAATTACCAGAACATAAATCCATTTTTATGAGCCCAAGCTATTCCATAAATCAAAGGAAAAAAGAAGTATTATACCACACCATGTAAACAGATATTAAAAGGCAGTGTTTTTAGAGATAAACAGAGAATTTAACAGGGAATGTATTTCTTTGAATATTAAGATGCTATTTTTGTTGTTTCCTACCACACACAGATACACACACACACAAACACACAGATACTAAAAGCTACTTTGATTCAATGTGGCAGAAAAATAATTAAGAGCAGTTAAAAACAGGGGTGCCTGGGTGGCTCAGTCATTAAGCATCTGCCTTTGGCTCAGGTCATGGTCCCAGGGTCCTGGGATCAAGCCCCACATCGGGCTCCCTGCTTGTGGGAAGCCTGCTTCTCCCTCTCCCACTCCCCCTTCTTGTGTTCTCTCTCTAGCTGTGTCTCTGTCAAATAAATAAAATCTTAAGAAAAAAAAAAAGAGTAGTTAAAAACAGTGAGTAGCACTCTAGAAGAGTGGTTAAGAACAGCACAGAACCTGGATCCAGATGGCATTGGTTTGAATTCCATCTCTACCATTTACCTAACAATGTGGTTTTGAGCATATTTATATATTGTCTCTGTGTCTGTGTTACAGCTAATAGGGTTCTAAGTAAAATGCTTAGAAACACAACTGGGAAATAATGGTCTAAGTTTTAGCTATTATTTTTCTATTGCAAAGGCAAAATTTCAGCTGGAAACATGATGATATTAGTAAGACAAATAGAAGTTATCATGTACCTGTGACACAATAAATTTTATAACAGCAAAATAGATAATTATTTCTAAATCCTTATGTTTACATCACAGAAAAGCAATTTTCAACAATATTACCTAGTCTCATCTTGGCTTCACCAAATACAATGTATCTTGGGCAAGTTAATATATTTGTGCCTCAGTTTCCTCATCTCTAATGGGGATAATTATAGTACCTACCAGAAAATGTTCAGAGAATTAAATAAGTTAACTAAAGTGAAGCACTTTAAAAAGTTAATAGCAGGGGTGCCTGGATGGCCCAGTTGGTTAAGCACCTGACTCTTGGTTCCAGCTCAGGTCATGATCTCGGGGTCATAAGATCGAGCCCCACATTGGGCTCTGTGCTGGGCATGGAGCCTGCTTAAGATTCTCTCTCTCCCTTTGCCCATCCCCACGCCCCCGCACCCCCAAAGTGCATGCTCTCTCTCTAAAAGAAAACGTTAATAGCAAATAGTAAGTACTCAAAAATTAAGTGTTATTTATTACTCACTTAACACATTGTAAGAAGCAGAATATAAGTGTGTGTGTGTATAACCATGAGGGTCACAAATGCAAAGAAATACAGCATTAACTTCAGGCCCAATAGTACAGACAAGCTCAGGGAAGTATACTGATAAAAGTAAAAAATATTCAACAATCTAAATTTCTGACTCACTTTCTCATCTATATAAAAAGGGATTTCTATGAGATAACAAAAATTCCCTTCAGTTTCAGTTTTAGGGAACTGTGGCATGCTACAGAGTTAATATTAACAACAAAGTATACCCTTTTAGAATATTGTAACTAATTTTTGGTATTAGCCAAGATGAAAGTATTTCCTTCTTGGCAATTGCCCCAGGCAAAGTTCATTTAAGTAGCCTGGTGAGCATTCTCACAAATTTAATTCAATCTCAAAGGACTGATATATAATCCTGTATCTATCCTAGAGTAGTTTCAAAAGAAATTATTTAAGAGTGAATTTTTCTATAGTTTCTTGGTAGCTCAAAGTACGTATTCCAAATAACCAAAAAAAAAGTAGATGTTTTTTACTTCAAAAGGCAACAAATTATATCTTTAACATAACCTTAATCTTAAACATAATCAAACTCCTCTATCAGAGCAACATATGAGAAAAATACATAAATTGTTAAATAAGTGATGACCAATGGGAAACTGACTGGCTTGGTTGGTACAATGTCAATTTTTTAGCCATCTAAATTCAATTGCTTACTTGGGTTTTTCCTTTCATTAAAAGAAAATAATAAACTGAAGCTTCTGGCTTGGACAAAATAACTTCAAACATCCTACAGAGAACAGATACTAGATAAACCACAGAGAGAAAAAAAGCTTTTGTTTGAAGGTATCTAAGGACAATCAAAGCAGCCAACACTTGAGTGACAAAAATTCCAGAAAGAAAGGAAATGCATGAAGGTTACTGGGTACAAGGTTAGAATGCAAAAGTCAACTGTATTTTTATACATGGAATATACCACATTCATGGATGGCCTAATATTTGTAAAGAAGTTAACGGTACTCAAATTGATCTATAGGTTCAATGCAATGCCAATCAAAATTCCAACTTTTTTTGGTAGAAATTTAAAAATTGATCTTAAACCTATACAGAACTATAAAGAAAACCGATGCAATCTTGAGAAAGAAAACAAAATTAGAAGACTTATGCTATCAGAAATTAAGATCCATTCTAAAACTATAGTAATTAAGACAGTCCGAGACTAAACAGACAAAATTGAATAGAGTCTATACAAGAGCCACACAAATAGTTTCACTCAAAATTAATGAAAAAGATGATGCTGCAGTAAAGTGGGCACACTGGTCTTTTCAATAAATGGTGGTAGATACCCATATGGGCAAAAATGCACCTTGATCCCTGTCTTCATACAATTCACAAAAAAATCAATTCCAAACAGATTACAGACCTAAATATTGAAGGTAAAACAATAAAGCTTCTGGAGGACAGCTTCATAGGAAGCGTATTTTCATAATTATGGGGTATAAACAAAAATTTCTTAAGCAGAACATGACATGGAAAGGAAAATACTGTTATATTAGATTTAATTAAAACAAAGAATTTCTGTTTATCAAAAGACAGCATTAAGAAAGAAATTAAAAAACAGGCTCACATAGTGGGAGACAATATTTGCATAACTTTTATCTGAAGGAAGACTCAAACCAAAATATATAAAAGAGTTATAAATGGTACAAAATAAACAGACAACCCAATTTAAGGAAAAGTCATCAAAAGATTTAAATAGTCACTTCACAAAAGAGGATACCTAAATGGCAATAAACTTATGAAAAGAGGTTCAATTCATTAACTACCAGGGAAATATAAAATAAAACCATCATATCGATCATAAAAAAATAAAAATGAAAAAAAAATCCTAACAGAAAATCTGAGTAAGGAAGTACAGCAACTGAAATTGTCATACAATGCAACGACTAGTGCATCTATTTTGGGATACCATTTGGCAATATCTACTGAAGTTGAGCATGTGCATACCCAGTGACCAAAAATTTCTATCCCATTTTATACCCACATAAATTCACATACATGTATATAAAAACATGCACAAAATATTCAAAATGGCTTTATTTGTAATACACAAAAACTGGAAACAACCCAAATGCCCATCAATAATACAATGGACAAATTGTGATGTATTTATCAAATGGATATTAAAGATAATATACAGTATTAAAATTGAATATACTGTGGGGCGCCTGGATGGCTCAGTTGGTTAAGAAATCCAACTCTTGATTTTGGTTCAGGTCATGATCTCAGGGTCATGAGACTGAGCTTCACATTGGGCTCCGCACTCAGTACAGAGTCTGCTTGAGAGTCTCTCTCTCCCCTCCCCCTGCCCCCCCCCCCCCGCTCATTCAAATCATTGCCAAATCTTACAAAAGTAACCTTATTTTCCCTTCTATCATCATGGTTAGTGTTTTTTCTTTTGAAATGATACAAGAAGGAAATCTTAAGTATGTGATCCTGACACTATGACCTGAACCAAAATCAAGAGTTGGATGCTTTTTAAAGTGACTTTACAAATTGCCCTACTGGGCAAAGAAGGAAATAGGTAAAATACAAAAATCAGTACTTTAATTCTTTAGAATGAGTGGTAGATCTTTTTATGGATCTCAAAACCATTCACTAGGAAGATGTACTTAGGGATAAAATACCCATCTGCATATGCCATCCCCTAAGTAAATGTTTGTGTATCAGCTTCATCTTTGAGGAGATTATAGAGATGATTTAAACATAGACCTAAAGTTCATAATTTGGTAGAAATTCAGTTGTAAGTATCTTGAATACACCTGGCATTTTATTTAAGTTTATTTAACTATTTAATATTATTTACATTTACTTAATAAACTTGAATTCTCCCTACATAAAATGTGACCTATCATCAGCTTTCTAATTTCCTAAACAGTAACATCTCTTCCTTTCTGTAGTATTTCCACAAATATTCTACTGTCTCATAGGTTAGTATGTGAATATAATAAACACATTGGGTAATTTTCTCATATAGGGTCTAATATAGGACTCTTGTTTGAATCCTGACTCATGAAACATATGCTTAAAAAAAAATGCCTGTATGTGATCAGGAAAATCTGAATCTATCTGGATATATGATAATATTGAATTATTGTTAATTTTTTAGATATAATAGTGGCATTATGATTGTATTTTTAAACAGAGTCCTTATCATTTAGATACATAATGAAATGGTTACAGATGAAACTACATGACTACTATTTCCTCCAAAATAATCCCTGGGAGAGGGTGAGAGAGGACAGTGAGGCACAGCTGAAGTGAGAGTGACCTCGAGTTGATCAGTGTGGTAGCTGAGCTATGGATATGGGGAGGCAGGGGTCAGGGGAAGTGTACTTAAGTTGTTCTCAAAAATTTAGGGTACATTCAAAATTTTCCAAAAGGGGAAAAAAAAAAGAGAAAGAACTACAGGTAAATGATTAATTTTGGAAGTCTTCTCAACTAAGAAAGATGCTAGTGTATTCTCTGGACACAAGACATTAATTTGCAAAATTCATGACACGTTCATCTGCATTGCCCGTCACATTACTAAAATCACAAGGATGCAGCCGTCAGAGAAACAAACTTTTGATGCTGGTAGAAAAACAGGACATCACTGAAAACTGAAGATCACAACTTAGTAGGTGCATATTTACAACTACATAAAAGTAAAGTCTCTTTAATGCTGTAGGAATGGGGGGAAAGGGACAACTTCAGAAATGCAACTATAGTACTAGATAATTTTCTTCTTTAAGAACTACACTCTTACATACAAACTACATATTCTAGGAAATATTGGGATGTGGGACAAAGAAACTAAGGCTGTTGTGTTTTAGCCTCATTTAATAATGAAGGCTCAACTTCAAATACAGTATCATAATTAAATATTTTCAAATTACCTTAACATTATACTCAGGATGAGAATTCATATAATCAAAAAGCAGCTGATAATTCTTATACTGATGATCCCATTCTATGAGTTCACAGTAGCGAAAATCATCTCCTAGTGGGGCCAGGACAACTGTAGTACGGAAGAGCTTTGACTTCTTTCGGTACTGATCTAGAAGCATCTCAGCCCTACAAAAGAAAAAGGAAAATAAGAACAGTACTAAGAAAACTACAATGGGGCAACTCATTAAAAAGTGTATTATGTTAAAAGAAATTGTTGTATACTTTACCTGTATTCTAGGTTAGTATGATTTATAAGGCAGATTTTTTAAAACTACTATACTAATTTTCATTATCCACTTAAAATATTCATAAATTTTGGGGTGCCTGGGTGGCGCAGTTGATTGAGCATCCAGGCTTTTGGTTTTGGCTCAGTCATGGTCTCTAAGTCATGAAATCAAGCCCCGCATTAGGTCCTGTGCTCAGCGCAGAGTCTGCTTGGGATTCTTTCTCGCTCTCCTTCTGCCCCTCCCCTCTGCTCTTTCTCTCTAAAATGGATAAATAAATCTTTTAAAAAATATATTCATAAATTCTTACCAGAGAGAAAAACCCACAGGTTTCCAATGGATTATCCTTAGAGAAATAAAGTCACATACCAACTTTGACATAAAATTACTGGGAACATCAATGGCCTCCTGAAGCCCTGCCATAGACACTGGATCCCAGATTGCCTGTATTTTAAAATAATTTAGTCCAAGAAGACAATAAGGATTTCTTATCTATATAAACTTTGAAGTTGGCTTTGACTCAAGATGCCTTTCTCTAATTTGATCTAAACTTGCCTGATTACACATAAAAAAATTAATAGTTTAAATGAAACCAATTATAGAACCTGAGTTCCTCTTCAAACGGAAGAAAAACAACTCACTTAACACCTGCCATCAATAAACTGGATATCTGTCAGTGTCCTTCTCAGGGCTGATCAACAGATAAAGTTTTGGAGATCAAATAGCTTTTTTGATTTCTACCTTCCTCAGATCTAACCCATGAGTCCAAAGGTCAGCTAAATACTAAATGTGCTGATGTGTTTTTATATTTCATATTATTCTAGTATTCTGCAGAAAACCTTTGGGGTTGAACTGCTGAATGCTGAACCGGGGTACCGTTTGAGGAAGTCTAGGAATACAAAGTATTTAAGAGGAATGGCTTATAAAAATGAAATTAAATAAGCGGATGAAGAACTCAGAGTAGTTCTCTATGTTTGTAATGCCAAGCTTAAGAAATCAGTGATAAATGACTAATGTGCTTTTTACCCAGTATTCCAATTTTCATTTCTAGGGTTATCGAGAAGTTCCAATTCACAATATAAAAACTTACGAAAGAAACTCAAAGACCATCAATAACGGAACGAAGTATTTTATAGAATTAAAAACATTTAACTAAATTTAGAAATTCACATGATCTTTTTATACTGATAGTCTCTGAAACTGCTTTGCAAATATTAAATTATTAGCAAAATTCAATAACTTGGTGAGTAAAATATAACCATAATGTTCTTACATAACATAGTTTTCTGAGATTAGCGTTCAGTAGAGTACTTAATTTTTACTAATAATTTACTAATATTCCACACTTAACCAAAAATAACCTTGGATTATTAGTTATAATTAAAAAAATACATGTCTAATGAGATTAATCAAATAGAAAGAAAAATAAGAGAAAAAAACCAAACATATAAATCAGATATGAGAAAGATACACTATGACTGAGCATCCAATCAGATTCCCCTAGGCAACCAGCATAGAAAAGGATAAGTGATCATTTAAATGAATGCCAAGGTTTACTACTAGATATACCATATCTTGTGTGTATATGCATATGACACATAAGAGGAAAGAATCACAAACATTAAGTGTGAGTCTTCCATTCAGCATCTGTCCTAACTCCCAAGCTCCTGCTCAGAAGGTGTCAACACGGAATTCAAGAGACCAATCTACACTACCTGGTAGAGAGCGGATATTCACTAAATACATTGTACACTAATGCCAAATGAAATGACCGATATCACACTTGAAGATGTACAGCAGCAATCTGCTCTTCACTCCTACCAGGTTAGAAATGTCAACTTAACTAGAACCAAGAAAAAAAAAATTTCCTAGAACATCCTGTATCATTTGACACATAAATCACCATCATATGTAAAATACGTTGTATGAGAACAAAAACTCAACGTGATAAAGAATGGTACCTCTTTATTTGCGAAGTAGAGGAACCTGCTGAACTAAACAGTACCAATTTTATCACCTGTAAATTGTAGTTAAATTTCATTTTCTTTAGGGTATTAAAAATCACGTGCCACTAAGCTGGAATGCCCGTGTTTGCTCTCCATTAATCACAAAGTAAAAAGGACGGTGATATCTGGATGTGAAGTAACCAGTAAAGATTTCAAGAATTATGAGAAGTTTTTTAAAAAATCTACAGAAGTATTAAATAGACTCTTTCATCTCTATGCCCCCAGGTGCCTGGAAATCACTTGCAGATTCACTGGAACTGACTGAGCACAAGGTATGTTCCTGGGGGGCAATCTTTGTAGTGTCAGATGGGACACAGCAAAAGGATTACACAAAATAGCTTCCCCCCTCCAATAATGCACTTTAAACAGGTACTCTCAGCAACACCCAAGAAAAGAAAAAGAGGAGCCTCACAAGGTCTTTGGTGCACTGGGAGTCCCCAATTAAAGCATCTGGTTACCTTCAAAGAAATTCCCTATCTCTGACCCCCTGAGCTACAGAAGAGCGTATGCTGCCTAGCTCTATACCTTTTGCCACATAATACACTGGATTATTCTCCTCCGCCTAACTAACCTAAGCCCAGAAAGCACGCTATTCACTCTTCCTCACTGATCTTCACTGCTGTAGGAACCAATAAAATGAAACCAGGTTGATCCCTAATCTTGGGACAGTTTTTCAAAATAACTATAAAAATCAGATTTTGCTGGAAGCGATCTATGTTAAAGGCTGCCATGTTAAAATACTTTTGTGTGTGCCAGAGTGAGGGACCCTCAATGAAATATTTTATGGCCACAAGGACTGACTCAAGGCAGAGACTCAATCTCACCTTCTCCTTCCAGTTTTTAAAGAAGCAATTTTTAAAATAAATAGACTTGATAGTGCACAGTGCAAAGATCTTACTTCATTTAAAAGGCTTTATCATTGTGCTTCGAAACCACCTGGGGGCATGGTTATGTTGGCACCCTATTCTCATTTTGTTGGGCTGGAGATTTTTTGAAAGCTCCCTGGGTAATTTGGGCAGCCATGCTTGGTAACTACCGACCTGCCTCATCCTTGCCCATTTAACCCTCCTGTGGAACGCAGGATGCCTGGCTTCTTCTTAGCAATTCACACGAGCGTGGAGTTCCCAAAAACCATCAAACTTACAAATGGCAAAAAAAATTGCACATAATTATTGTTATACAATTAGTGTACACAATATGATGAGTTTAAAAATATTCCTACACTCGTGTTGCCATCATGTTATTGAAAATTTTTTAAGGATAACATGTACAAGAACCTAGGCAGAGTAGGTTTTCAGAAACCAGAAATTCCAGGGTCTTAAAAACAGTTAATGAATGTTGTGGTTTGCAGAATTTATGGCTGTCATCCTACTTTAACTGTTTATAGCTACCCCCCTCACTCTCAAAAATCTCCTCATGTGTTTAATAAATAACATGATCGATCTAAAAAAATAAAATAAAAGCCTGTATCATTTTTCTGCCAGAGGTGAGTGGTTTATATTGCAACACAATGTCTTATTTAAAGGCATTATACACCAGTAATTTTTAAGTGAAGAAATTAAACTTTAAAAGCAAACAAATGACAAGTATAGGTAATGAGATGCTTCTGTCATGAGCATAATTTTCTTCCTAAAAAAAATGATTCATCCCTTTTTTATTTAAGTAATTATCTTTAAGTATAAATATTCCTAATTAAAAATTGTCTGTAAGTCAAAAATATCAGAATGATCGAAAGAGTGTATTCATCAGAGCTGGGCAGCATCCACTACTATTGAAATTGTATTAAAAGAACAGATAATTATACTCTTTATGTGTTCCATTTCAATAAACCTGTTTTTGCAGTTGGGTTGCTTTTCTTACCAATGTATACAATAGAGACCAGAAGTTTTATTATCAACTAAAGTATGTGAGATCAATCAAAAGCAGCAGAAGGCTTTTATAATGAGGGCAAAGGAGAGGGTAATAACAGACTGTTATAGGTTCTCCATTGTATATTGATCAACTGTTGTTCATTTTCCATTAAGTTATAACACATAAAAGGCACAGTCAAAGCTCTGCATTTTTAAGTTGCTTTAGATCTGGTTGAATAAGTACCTTGAGCATGGATAATGTTGGCTACTGAACCCTTTAGCAAAGAGCAGCAGAGTTGTTGCTTTGCTCAAGATGCTGTCTTAATGAAATGCATATTTTCATACCTCTTTTGGACATTTCCAAGATGTATTGTTTCTGGGGGGACTCCCCAGGGACAACCAAATCTGCCTCCGGGAAGCCGTTTAAAATCAAACTGGCAGCATATTTTAGGATCAGGTCCACACGTACGAGGGATGTCATAGCTGTAGAAAGGCATCATGTGGCAAAAAATATCTGTGCCAGATCCCAGATCTAAAATAAAGAGCCAACAGACAAACCTGGATTTATAAATTGTGTTTTCCCAAAACTGTTCAAAATGCCAGTACTTTCTACATATATAATGCAAGCTCCACCCTAAATCTACAACCTACTTAACTACTACTCATACATAAACTCCAGTGGCATTTAAAGACCACCAGCCTGAAGGAAGAGACTCACATCTCAGTCTCTCTCTACCTCCTCTATCTAAACTGAGCAGAGACCCATCACGGACCAGCGTGTGCTGGCCTGGAAAGATACAAACGAACAGAAGCAAAAGTTATCCCTGGCTCATCCAAAAATATGGGCTGTGTCCATCCCTGGCTGCCAGCTCCTTGCCACATCTGTCCCCACATCAGTAACGGGACACACTGGGGAAGACCATGACACTAGCCGCAGAGGAAAGGAGAGAAGGAGAGAGGAAGAGAATAAAAGGAGGAAAGGAAGAAGTCGGGAGGCTTGTGAGAATGCTGGGCAAATTCCTATCTATTTCTCGCTGTGAGGAGAAGAAAGGGCAACCGGAAGAGTTCACAGAGTCTCCCCGTTGTTCACCAATGAAGAGCCACCAGGACTTTTCACCAAGAAAGCAGCACAGGACAAGGGGAAGTACTTCTTAAAACCAAAACAAACAAACAAACCCAAGAATAAAAACGAAGCAAACAAAAAATATACTGAAAGGGAGCACTGGTTCCTGACGCAGAACTGTCTTTAATTAAATCCCGAATGCCAGCAAGTGTTGTTATCACTGCCCTTGAGAGGTCAGAAGCCTACCACCCAGTGATGGAGGACTTGAGCAAGGGTTAAAAATGGTTACCTTTTAGGCTCCTGACCTGTAAATACCTCTCCCTCTTTATTTATAAAGTGTGGATTTCTACTTTTCAGCAATGGGTTATGTGCTGCTTTTATGACAAAGACAGACACAACAACGAAAACAAAAAAGCAACCCGCACGTTTTAAAAAATGAAAATACCTCCTTCATTAAGAACCAGAACACACAAAGAAGCTCAAATGAGTTCCAAAGCATAATTTTGAAGCAACATGTTCAAATCTATCTGGTAAGTGCTAACATATTCCAGTTCTATCTCGTGCTCCATTTAGTTAATTACCAGCTCTTTTCCAAAATTTAAAGCTTTTATAATTTGTATATTTTTGTGCTGTCAGTTGCTTCACTGAATCACACTCGAGTGTGACATCACGGATCTGGTCACTAATGCTTGCTAACCGCACAGAGGCCCTCGGTGACAACTCCTCTTCCCTTCTCCGGTAGATCAAAGACACTCAACAGCCCCACCCCTTCGCCTCAGCCATACTATTTAGCAGCTCATTTACACGTTTCAGTTTATCTGCTGCTGTTGGTCTTGTCTTTCATCAAATTAAGACTATAATTTCCTGATAGGCAAGGAAGTTTTCTGTATTTCTTCCAAGCATGGTATTAAGTACATAAAAGTACTCAGTACTTTCTTGCTGATTGGTATTTATGGGCAATTTGAATGTAGGCAATACTGTTAAGTAGGGCCTCTTCAAATTAACAATCCCTTTTTTTTAATTAATATGCTCTTTGCATTTGATCAAACTATACAGGATATAACCCCCTACAAGTTCTCGTTTTCCCTACAGGTTTTAATTTCCAGAATAAAAAATTATATAGTTAATCTCTTTCCTTATTGAAAAAACAGCAGTATGTATCAGGAAGTTACTGTCTAGATTTACAAACGATTTTTTGAAAACACTTAAGGGGGGATCTAACTTACACAGGAAAACAAGTATGATGCAATGCAGTAATTTCTGAACATTGTTTTAGCAACGAAACCCTTTTTGTGGATGAAATCTTACTGAAAGCCCAGTACCGGGAAAGCAGTGAATGGCAGGGGCTTAAAAGCCTGGGCTTCTGAACTACACAAAGCTGGATTCAGATCTCGCCTCTGTACCTACTACCTGTACGACTTTGGCAAAAGGCTTCACAGCTCTAAGCATCCATTTCTTCACCATTTAAAAGGGATAATGAGAGAAGAGAAGATAAAGGATAAAGATCTAGTGAGAGAGCAGATATAAAGCATACAGTACAATGCATGGCCCAGAATAAAGAACTCAATAAAGAAAAAGAAATAATAAGGTATTCTGAATTAAATGGGGGTTGGGAAAGGCAAAAACCTCTCAAGAAGCCTAAATCTTGTCTCCTTCCCACCCCTCAGCAAAGAGCTGTAGAAGTATGACCTTGGGAACACCTGTGCACCCACAGAATACAGCGTGAAAACAAGCAGGACAGGTAATAGGAGGGCTGTTCAGGAGGACAGGATTAATGGTTTAAAAGGCAATTCTTACTAGATGCAGAGACAGGAAAGACAGAAGGAGGAAACACAGGCTGAATGTGAAATAAAAGACTGGATATAAGTTCTCACACATGTTCAACTTTGTGATAAAACAAGTCCTTTTCAAAACAGAAGCATGTAAAAGCATTATTTGCAAAAGACTAATTCCTTACATTTATTTACTTCCTTTAGGCATAAAAAAGAATCCACGGTGTTCTATAGATAAATATCCTCACCACTGCTTAAGAGAATCTTAACACCAATACACTGGGAAAAAAATCGTAAGAACGTATATCTTGAAGCAACCTAATTTTCAAGACTGACACTCTGAATAAAGCCCGTAACAGGAGGAGTTCATAACCCTTATGAAATAACATCTAGGTCAAGTGAGATCTTCCACTCTCATCACACCCTACGTACCCCAATTCTGTCTCCAAAAAAATTCCAGCGTTTTATGCAATGCAAAATGTTTTTTAACTGCATAATGAACTCTCTGAATAAGCATGTGAGAAAATCCGGCGTGTTTGAGGAGATAAGCCATTGTTGGTGAATGTCCAAAAGGATCAATAGACCAACCGGACCGAGGTTTCACTCCTGTCGATAAAGAAAATAAGTGTTATTTTTTTAACTGATAATGAAACGAAAAGAAGTCACAATCCATTCAGAGCCATCAGAGTTCTATGGTATTCTGGGTCTGAGGACAAGGCATCTGCCCAGCATTCCCCTTGAGCATACGTTCCCAGCAGGGCTCCCAGACGGGAGGATGCTGCCCCTGCCATGTCTTCTTCCCAGGCAGAGGAATCGCACTAGAGGTTAATCAACCGGCACTGAAATCAGCACTCTGCCATCTCATAGACACTAGAAAGCTCCTGCCATTTAGTGGAGCTAGAGAAACAAACAGGACCTAGCCCCCATCCTTCTAAGACCTCACAGTCTTGTTTTCCTTTGAGGTGGATAACCCAGCAACTTGCTATGTAATAAGGAAAAGTAAGCTAACTTATTTCAACCTGGACTCCTCAATCCCAATGTTAAGGAATTTTCAGGCTGTCTGTCATACCTCACAATAGCTTCAAATCATCTTTTTATACAGTAGCAGAAGTGACCAAAATAACTGCACCGAATTTCGTTAAATCTTAGTGAAATATAATAAAATTGTAATATAATATAATGCTGGTACTTTCTCTCTACCCAGAAAGGATTAATGGAATTTTCCACAACTGACTAACAGCAACTGTTAAGAGCCATTGACTAAAGATATAGCTCAATTTCACATAGGGTACAATGTGAAAAAAAACATAATAAATGTAAAGACTGGAATTAGTGAAAGAAGACTAGTCATCTGGCATTATACAAATCTGATCTTTTATTTATTCAGGATACTCAAAAGCAAACTTGTACATGCAACCTATAGAAATCTATAGACGTAGTATTACTATGCGCATTTTTTTCAAACACCTGGTTAGCACTTCCATATACCTAGACTATGAGAGGTTCTAGGATTACAAAAATGAGTTTATCTTGGTCCTGACTGCAAAGAATATCATGCAAATAGGTGTAACACAGAGTATCAGAATATGGAGGGGAGGGAAGAACTCTGTGGAACAATCTTGAAGATGAACACAGAGCTGGGAAGCCAGCAAAGGAGACTGAGGAGAAAAAGTCAGAACTCTCAGAGGACCAAGAATATGTGTCAAAACTCAAAGAACTGACCACATATTTTTGCTTTTCACATATGTAATTCACCTCTAAAAACTGTAAAGAAACCTTTTTTAAAAATATTTTATTTATTTGAGAGAGAGAGAGAGGGAGAGATCACGAGCAGGGGGGAGGGGTAAAGGGTGAAGCAAGACTCCCTGCTGAGCAGGGAGCCTGATGCAGAACTTGAACACAGGACCCTGGGCCAAAGGCAGATGCTTAACTGACTGAGCCACCCAATTTAGCTCATATTTCTGTGCTGTCAGTTGTTTCACTGAATCACACTCAATTTAGTATTTTTGGTTTTTTGTGGTGGTATGGTTTAACAATTCTGGAACTACTTTTCATGTATTCTAAGGTTGAGCAAATTAAGACCAGGGAGCCAGGGTTCACACTGTTAAGGAACTACCAAATATGTAAATGTGGGAGAGCAGAATGTACTTTAGAACCCTGACTTGAAATAGGAGGTATCAGCACTAACTTACAGTTTTGTAACACACACCCACACCCACACCCATTTTCTAGCTCTGCCCCAGGAGGGCCTAGATACAGTAACACCTCAGGACCAATGAGCACACCTTAGCTTCTAGATGATGACTTCTAAACACTATGCTCTATTAAAAATAACCTTAAAGAAATGGCTCATCCCAGGACGGTGGCTGGGAAAATACAAAATAAGCCTGGAACATATACTTACAGCATAAAGTAAAGAAATGGTCAAAGAATCATCGGAACATATTAAAATAACTCAGGAGATAGCCTGTAGGGGCTTCCACTATCCAAATGTGTGACAATTGGGGCATCAAAATAAACAATGATAGTACTGGGTTATAACCCATTGAATAAAATAAGAAGCCACGAGATCCATGAGCCCTAAATAAAAAGAAAATAAAAAAAGAAATAGGAAATAAAGGAAAACAAAAAGGAAAGGTATATTCCTTTCAGTAGAATGCCAACTAATAATTATAGAAGGAATGACAGAATTAGAAAACCATCAATGGATCCTAAAAGTACAACAGGCAAGTTTGATGAGGAACAGGATATTTAGCTAATCTCAATGTGTCCCCCACAAATAAGTTATTAATTAAAGAAGAAAGATGTAACAGTACAGCAAAGAAACTTAAGAGACCCAAATTAAGCAACTGACCAAGGCTAGCAGCACCAGTATTAGAACAGGGAGACATCATGTGCCTCCTGACAGGATGCACTGAGGCCAACAGAACATCACTGCAGTGATATTCGAGCAAAAGAAGGAGATTGGTTTAGGGGCACCTGGGTGGCTCAGTCCTTAAGCGACTGCCTTCAGCTCAGGTCATGATCCCAGGATCCTGGGATCGAGTCCCACATCAGGCTCCCTGCTCAGCGGGGAGCCTGCTTCTCCCTCTCCCTGCCACTCCCCCTGCTTGTGCTCTCTATCTCTCTGACAAATAAATAAAATCTTTAAAAAGAAAAAAAAGTAGATTGGTTTAGGTTAGGAAGGAGGGAAGAAGGGAGGGAAGGAAGGAAAGCGGGAAGGAGGGAAAGAAGGAGGGAGGGAAGGAAGGAAAAACAACCTGAAGCTAATCGTGAGGAAATGGACATACTCAAATAAAAGGACTTCCTACAACAAAGTCCTTCACTCCTCAAAAATATCAAGGTCAAGAAATTTTTTAAAAAGGCTGAGGAGCTAGCTGTTCCAGATTAAAGGAGACTGAAGAGATGTGATAACTAAATGCAACACATGAGCATGGTTGGATCCTGGACTTAAAGGGAAAAAAAAAAAAAGCACCTTTTATTAAAAAAAAAAAAAATGCTATTGAGAATTTGAATATAGCCTATGAATTTGATTACAGTATTATATCACTGCTAACATTCTGGATTTGATAACTTTCTTCTGGTTATATAAGAAAATGTCCTTTTTTTTTTAATTTTACTTTTTTTAATTTTGTTATGTTAATCACCATACATTATATCATCAGTTTTTGATGTAGTGTTCCATCATTCATTGTTTGCATATAACACCCAGTGCTCCATTCAATACGTGCCCTCTTTAATACCCATCACCAGGCTAACCCATCCCCCCACCCCCTCCCCTCTAGAACCCTCAGTTTGTTTCTCAGAGTCCATAGTCTCTCCTGGTTCGTCTCCCCCTCCATTTCCCCCCCTTCATTTTTCCCTTCCTGCTATCTTCTTTTATTTTGACATATAATGTATTATTTGTTTCAGAGGTACAGGTCTGTGATTCAACAGTCTTACACAATTCACAGCACTCACCATAGCACATACCCTCCCCAAAGTCTATCACCCAGCCACCCCATCCCTCCCACCCCCTACCACTCCAGCAACCCTCAGTTTGTTTCCTGAGATTAAGAAGAAAATGTCCTTATTTTCTTAGAAAACACACAATGAAGTATTGGAAGATAAAGAAAGAAGATGCCTCCAACTTACTGTCAAATAGTTCAGAAAAACATGCATTATGAATCTAAGTACAGGACATATGAAAGAGCCCTTCCCAGCTGTCATGCAGCTTTTTATAAGTTTGAAATTATATCAAAATTAAGTTATAAAATAATAAAGGATTGCAATGTCCCAAATAACAAGGGCGGAATTAGCTTACAAGTGAGAGTAAAAATCACCATCAAATTCTACAGTGATGTCAGATTTTAGCAACGTTAGGGATGTTTTCCCTATCAAACTCACATGATCCACAGGAGCAGCAACCTAGCTGCAGTGGACTTAAGAGTCCCTGGGAGGTGATGATACAGAAAAGGAAGAATGTAAACCATATTTTTTAAAACTCTGACATGAAAGGAGGTGAGAGCTAGGCAGAGACCTAGAAAGGACCCCAGTATCCCACTAGGGTTTTCCTTGGTATGGTAAGTACTGTTTTAAAAGGGGTAAGGGGCAAATTTAGGTAAAAGCGCAGCATAAAAAAGCGCCAAAGTTTTATAAAGGGTATGTTTGCCAATGATACCAGGAAAGATCATGAAAAAGATTTTGTGCCATCAAGCAAGATTACCAAATACATAATAAAGTAAAAATTGTTAGGAAAAATGACAAGAAATGGTCATTAAAAAGAATAAAATACACCCCTCAATTTTTGACAAACCTAACAGACTTAAAAATTAGAACAGAAGTAATATGAATAATATAATTAGTCACTGGATTATTCCAAGTACATTTAATATTAAAGCTTAAGAAAAGTCAGGGAACAGATAGAAAAACAGGTATTTTGGGCAAAAGACAATGTTGGTAACTCAAACTTCAAAAAGTTTATGATATTTTGGGCAAAAGATAATCTTAATAACTCAAACTTCAAAAGGTTTATAATGATCATATTTGCATAACAGAGGTCACAAAAGCAGAAATTAACAAAAAACAGAACAATTTAAAAAGCATTCCATGACCAAATATAAAGTATCCAAAACAACATGCTGTTGTTCTAAATTGCTTAAAAAACAAAACAGAACATGAATTTACAAAATGCAGCCAAAGCTACAAAAAGATATTCCATTTCTCAAATGTGTCCATTATCTAAATGTAAGAGCTAAAAACCATAAAGTTCCTAGGTAAAAACCACAAAGTAAATCCTATGACCTTAGGTGAGACAATGGTTTCTTAGCTGTGACATCAAAACACAAGTGACAAAAGAAAAACTAAAATGGACTTCATCAAAATCAAAGCTTTTGTGCATCAGAGGACACCTTCATGAAACTGAAAAACAACCCACAGAATGGAAAAAAGTATTGGCAAATCATTGTCTGACAAGAAACTAGCGTCAAGAATATACAAAGAACTCTTACAAGTCAACAATAAAAAGACAAAGAACCCAAATGTAAAAATAGCCAAATAATTTGAACAGACATTTCTCCAAAGAAGATATATAAATAGCCAATACACACATGAAAAAACGTTTAACATCATTAGTCTTTAGGGAAATGCAAGTCAAAGCCACAATGAGGGACCATTTCATACACACTAGCATGGCTAAAATAAAAAAGACAATAACAAATGTTGCACATGTAGAGGAATTAGAAATCTCATACATTGCTGGGGGGGAATGTAAAATGGTGCAGCCATTATGGAAAACAATTAGGCAGCTCCTCAAAATGCTAAACACAGAGCTACCATATGACCCAGCAATTCCATTCCTAGGTATAAACTCAGAAGAAATGAAAACATATGTCCTCACGAAAACTTACGCTAGTGTGGGGTAGGGGGATGGGGTAATTGGACAGTGGTCATTAAGGAGGGCACTTGATGTAATGAGCACTGGGTGTTATATGCAAGTGATGAATCACTAAATTCTACCCCTGAAACTAATAATACACTATATGTTAACTAATTGAATTTAAATTAAAAAAATATATTTGCTGGGGAAAAAAAAACAAAAAACAAACAAACAAACAAAACCTTACACAAGTGTGTATAGCAGCATTATTCACAGTAGCCAAAAAGGGGAACACTCTAAATGTCTAGCAACTGAAAAAAGGAGAAACAACTGTGGTCTTTCCAAACAAAATAGTATTATTCAGCTATAAAAAGGAATGAAGCACTGATACATGCTACAACATGAATGAACTTGAAAACATCGTGCCAAGTAAAAGAAGCCAGTTACAAAGGCCATATTGTATGATTCGGTGTATGTAAAATGTCCAGAAGAGTCAAAACCATCCACACAAAAAGCAGGTGAGAGGGCTCCTGGGTGATTAGTCGGTTAAGCGTCCAACTCTTATTTAGGCTCAGGTCATGATTTTAGGGTCCTGAGATTGAGCCCCATGTCAGGCTCTGTACTCAGTGGGGAGTCTTACTTGGATTCTCTCTCTCCCTCTGCCCTTCCTCTGCCCCCCCCCCACACTCTCTCCTGTCTCTAAAATACATGAATACATCTTAAAAAAAAAAAAAAAAAAGTAGATTTGTGGTGGTATGGGCCTGGGGCAGGGAAGGGTGGAGTCAAGAAAGGAGTGTGACTATTAATGGGTAAGAGATTTCTTTTGGGGATGTTGAAAATGTTCTAATAGAGGGTGGCAACGGTTGCACAACTCTGTGAACAGACTAAAAACTACTGAGTTGTATACTTTAGGTGGATAAATTTTATGATATTGGAGACAACACAATTTTAAGAAGAAAATTTATGCTGAGCAAAAACTGATGGATCCAAAGGAGTCAGTCCATATATACGAAGTTCTGAAACAGGCAAAAATAATCTACAGTGATAGAAATCAGAGAGCAGTTGGCTGCAGGAGAGTTGAGGAGGATGAGGGAACTTTCGGGGGTGATGAAAAAGTGGCTTAACTGGGTATATATATTTGCCAAAACTTGAACTCTATAGTTAAGATTTGCATGTTGCACTGCATAGAACTTATATGTCAATAAAAGCTAAACATAAAGAAAAAAATCCCCAAACTGAAGTTTATAAAAGAAATATTCCTGGTTTAGAACATAATTATTTAAGAAAAGTGGCACTGTGTAGGGGGTCCCTAAGTCTGCCACCCCCATTTAGTGAGCTGTTAAGAAAATGTACAGGACTCGGCATATGGTCATACTCACAGCTATGACTTATTACAGTGAAAGGACACAATGCAAAATCCACAAAGGGAAAAGGCACAGGGGGCACAGTGTCCACGGGAAACCAAGCACAAGCTTCTAACAGTCCTTTCCCTATGGAGTCACAAAGGATGGGTTCAATCCCTCCATGTTGTGACAACTGAAACAACTGTGACAAAAGTGAAATGCTATCAAACAAGGAAGCTCCTGAAGAGACTCAGCGTTCAGGGTATTTGTTGGGGGCTGGTCATGGAGGCATCCTCAGCCTAGCAGTACATATTAAGATTCTGGACTTCCAGAAGGAAAAGAACTCAATACATGATCACAGTAGCATCTGTGATTAGCATAAACTACATTGTTTTTACACAGTTTAAACACAGTGAAACAATTCCACAGTATCTGTGTGGTAAGGATAGATGTTTTTTATTGGACTTCCTTCTTGGCATTTCTATTTTTTTCCTATTTAAAATTTTTTTCTGTGTTAGAGATAAAATCCTTGCCATCCCCATTCATTCTTTCTTTATATTTTGGAATAATTCAAACTTAAAAGAAAAGGTTTAAGAAAAATATGAAGAACTCCCATAAACTCCTCCACCAGATTTACCAATTATTAACATATTTGCTTTACTTTTTCTTTTGCCATATCATTGGTGTGATTGTTGTTGTTATTAGAATAAGCTGCAGATATCACACCTGTACACAAAAAAGAGATAACACAGGAGGTCTGAAAGTGCTATCTTTAGAAAGGTCTTGCTTGGAAGGTTTGCCCTTGGCTGGTGTCTGGGGACCTGGATTTCCTAAGTGCTACAAAATTGTACTCAGATATGAAATATTTGAAAAGAATTACATACCACATTGCAGGATACAAATACTAGGTACTGCAAAGATTTAAATGAGTCCCATGTTCTTACCAGTTGTAGTGAACACCTGGTTTTATCAGGGCGGTGTCCTCTTCCCCATGTCTTGTGGTAACAAGATCCCTCTTTCCCATGGAGGACCTATTCACATGGTTCCAGTAGAGCGGACCATGCCTTCCACAAACCCCTCTCCCGCATGACCATTTCCAATAAACTGACTAGGGCTTGATGATTTCAGCCCCTACACCTCTGGCCACAGAAACTGGCTCAGAGTTATGCACTTAATCCAAAGTGAGACAATTAGGTAAGACATTAAGAAAAACTTCTACTGATTAGACTGGGAAGATGAGAATCCTAGTTGCCTATGGCCCTCTTACTCACCATGTGAAGAGAACCAGGAGAAGACTAAGGCCATGCAAAAATAAGCAGAGCCAAGTGGAGCCTGGGTGGCTCAGTCGACTGAACATCCGATTCTTGATTTCAGCTGAGGTTATGATCTCAGGGTTGTGAGATCAAGCCCCGAGTAGGGCTCCATGCTGGGCATGGGGACTGCTTCAGATTCTCTCTTTCCCTTTCCCTCTGCCCCTCCCCCACCCTCTATCTCTCTCATAAATAAATAAATAAGCAAGCAAGCAAGCAGAGCCAAAAGAGATAGTGTCCAAACAATATAATCCAACTTTACCTGAACCTACCGTACCTCTTGAATTCTCAATGACAAAACTAATACCTTCCTTTTGTTCTTCTTTTTCTTTGGCAAGTAAATTAGGTTTTTGCCTCTTCTAACCAACAGTCTTAACTAATATAAAATTAAAATCCCAATGGGATACTGTTAGAAGAAAATTATTCTAAAAATTAATAAAAACAGTACACAAAATAATAGATTACAAAGTAGATGACACTAAAAGTGACCACATTATATTTATGCAACTTAGCTTATGATGGAGGAAACATCATAAATTAATGAAGGATAAAAAAAATACTGGGAAAATCAGTTATTTAAAAAAATAAAATAGAGCCTCATCTCATGTTCCCCAAAATTAATTGCCCAAAGTAGTCCAAATGAAGGAAAAAGACGTCAATACATACCTAGATTTTTTTCCAGCCACTGATGTCCTTCAATTAGTTGGTCAATTAAGGCAAAATAATGTGGAGCAGCTTCATCAGGCATAACCCAGCCACCTGTCACAATTTCAAACTGACCATTCTGTAGCAAACTAGAGAGAAAATAAATATAGGAGTTTACAATAACATATACAAGAAAAGTTCAAATAAAAGATTTAAAATAGCGTAAACATCAGGGACAGCCCTTAAGCAAGTATAACCATTACTTACATGAGTTACTAAAAAAGTTTTTTAAACCAGGGAATAAATTTCAACTTTGGGGCCCTGGTGATAAAACATCCTTAGTGAAGCGTGTGTATGTGACCCTTCCTTCCTAGGCAAAGCCTCTGCAGGTCACTTTGGAAGTTCCTTTTCATAAGGTTATAATCTCCCAGACAACTTCAAAGATCCTGATGTCAGGAGACACATCTGATTTATTTCTGAATCTTACAAAGCACCTAGCAAGGTGCTTTACTTGCAGTATGTCCTGAATGTTTACTGGAGGGCTGTCGTTTTAAGCATGATATTTGTTTCAATATACCTATATTGAATATCAATATTCATTTTAGTCCTTCTGACAATGGTAAGTTAATCATGCAAACTACACAAAAGTAATAATAATAAAGGTAAAGCCAGTAAATAACATATGCCTCTGGGAATACAGAAAACATCCTAAAGCACTTTGCTCCAGATTCAGTTAAAATGTGTCTATATAGTTTATTTTACATTACTGAGTGAAAAGCTCTAACATTATCATTATCTGTCCATTGGGTACTCCTTTGCCATAATGCCATACAAGGTAACTAGATTCCCCACCCCTGGAACAACTGAATTGTTACAAGAAGATCCCTTCCTCCAAAAAAAAAACAAAATCGCAGACTATTAAAAATTTGAAGAAGTACCTGAGGAAGTATAGAGGTCAAGAATTTAAGCAAACACCTTAAATGCCATAGACTTGTCAGTCTGCAGTAAGATGGCTTGAGAAATTGTGTAGAATTCCACACAGAAAAGCAGCTTTAATAAGGATACACATCACCGGATACCTACCCTGAACAGCCGAGTACCAAGCCAAATTTTGTTAAAGCAGCCCAGAGGCATAGAAGATAAACGTTTTCCTACAAAGCCTATAACAGAATCCACTACATTAACACAACATCTGATTTATTCAAACATGTGCATAACCATACAACCAGTGAGAGAGTGGATAATGGACACAAATTTTAAAAATGAATGAATAATTCCTTGTATAAAATTTTTAAATGTTAATTTAATCCTGTATTGCCATGGGAATCACCAACTAACATAATTTCACATGGACACTATGATGGCTCATTATAGTGCCTAAAAAAACCCAAATGTCCAGTCAAACCTTAGATTCTCAGAGGCCCAAATCAAGAACTTAACAATATACAAACTGGGAATCTCCAAAAACAAAACAAAACAAAACAAAACAAAAAAACCCATATTTCTTTAAGAACACAACTAAATCCAAGGCTATTTTATCCTATTCTTACTGTCAAACTGCTTCCAGTCAGTTCTCTTTCTTATCTTTCTGGTGATTGCCAGATTTAGCCACACTCCGGAGACCTTGGCCCAGACCCAGCTCTTAAGTCTGATGACCAGTACGTGGAAGCCTGAGACGTCAGGACAGATCTGGGATTTAAACTCTGGCCATCAATATAGAAACGTGGCTCCTTATCTCAGCACTCCAGTAAAGAGATCTTTTGGAAAATTTCAGAAATAAATTGGTCAAAACAAAGTCTTTGCTGCTTCTGAACAGTTAATAGAAATTACAGATTAAGAAGTCTAAAAATTAAAATTAAAAAAAAAACACTCCAGTGATGGAATTTCTCATCTCAGTTTTATTTTGCTACATGATCCCTATCCCCAGGCATGAATGGACTCCAAGAAACAGCTAAGTGAGCAAAGAATCATACCTACTATATACATTAACTAATTTCCCCAGGTCCATTTGTAAACAATCTATCCCTTCCTCCTCCCCATGATGCCCCAGATGTCTGTGATCAGTATTGAGTTCTTATTCGAATGCAATGGTTATCTTAAAGACTGACTTGTCAATTTTGGGAAGGCATGAAAAGCCTCCCATGCATTAAAATGTTTTCCACGATCTTTTTTACCTACTTATTTTCTTCTCTCCTATTTTTCCCAAAATGATTGGTCCCAGGTGTCCTCATGTCTCAGCCCAAATAAAACCTGCCCAGAGAAATCTCCCTGAGCACCCAACCTAAATCAGTTCTCCCACCATACTACCACACTCTCACACGATAGCATTTATCACCAACCAGAATTACCTTGTTCCGTTTCCATGTATGTCTCCTCCCTCTCCCTCCTCAACCCCACCCACCATGAGAGCAGAATGTAAGCTCCCAGAGAGCAGGGACTAGCACCTGCTGTTTTTTTTTGTGTGTGTGTGTGTGTTTTTTTAAAGATTTTATTTATTTATTTGAGAGAGAGAGAATGAGAGAGAGCACATGAGAGGGGGGAGGGTCAGAGGGAGAAGCAGACTCCCTGCCGAGCAGGGAGCCTGATGTGGGACTCGATCCAGGGACTCCAGGATCATGACCTGAGCCGAAGGCAGTCGCTTAACCAACTGAGCCACCCAGGCGCCCTAGCACCTGCTGTTTTGCTCACTTATCCACACCCAGCACTGAGAAGTGTGTGTGGCATGTAAGGGGCACTCTGACAGTTGTGAGATAAATGATGAATGACTGAACGAGACTCTCGGCTCAAAGTCAGTATTGACAGAAAGTTTTAGATTAGATGAAGCTCACAGACATATGCAAAATAAACTGGACAGAAAGGGGCCAGGTGGAAAGGGGTCTGAACAATCTGGGTGTGAGGTGGTACGACCCAGAATATGAAAGTGGTGGGGCCCCCGGGTGGCTCAGTCAGATGAGTGTCCGTCTTCGGCTCAGGTCATGACCTCAGGGTCCTGGGATCAAGCACCGTGTCGGGCTCCCTGCTCATAGGGGAGTCTGCTTCTCCCTCTGCCCCTCTCCCATTGCTCCTGCTTGCTTGCTTGCTCTCTCTCTCTCAGAGAAATAAATAAAATCTTTTTAAAAAATATGAAAGTGGTAGGAAATATGGAAGAGGAAGGAGAGAAAGGAGGTGTCTCATGAAAAATCATCCATGGGAATTGGGCAACGACTGGCAATAGAACAAAGGACGGAAGCACGTATGTCTTGGGTGTTAATTCCTGGTGTCTAACGGCACCGTAGTGTGACACACACAGTGGAGGTGAGAAGGGAGGTCACTTTGGGATCATAAATATAAATTTGGATAAGGCTGTCCGATAGGATGGTGAGACACCCCAAAGGAGCTAACCGAAGATGAAAAGTTCAAGAAAAGAGGCTGATAGAAAAATTAAGCTTGGAGGGACTAAAACAAAGAGGAAACAGAGAAGCTAGGAGGTGAGGAGAAAACAATCAAAAGGAGAGTCAAGGACCAAGCAGAAGGAAAATATAAAAGGAAATAGAGGCAATAAGAAATGTGAAAGATAAAAAGAATAAATCTGTGCAAACAGCCTGAAACATTCTAGAAAGCAGTAATGAGGTGCAACCTACGCTCCCACTTGGTAAAAGGCATTTTTACAGTTAAAAAGCTACCATGTAATTGCGACTTACTCAGAAAAGGACACATTGGTGGGCCAGAATATAAAGCTGAGAAATAAATTTTTTAAATATTTATATGATTAAAATAGCAAATTACATTACTGGAAAAGAATGGGATATAGTTTTATTTATAAAAGCTTCACTCAGAGGGATTTAAAACAAACTTGTAAGAAAGCCAAGTTATTATGTCATATAAGCCAAAAGACTGATACTTTGAAAGAGCATGCTCATATAGGTTTTTAAGAAAAACTATATGAATAGGTCACAACAGGCATGAATGTCACAGTCGCAAGCCAGAAAGGACACAGGTTTTAGCTTTTCGTAGGATAGTGTCTCTAACCAAGCAGAAGAAAAACCAAACGGAAAAAAAAAAAAACAACAAAAAAACATGATATGAAGTACGAAGCAATATAACAATGACTAGACACCTGGCCAAACAATCAGGTTGGTGAGTACTCCTATTCCACTGAACTGCCTGGTTTTCCTAGTCTATACATAAGAATGGTGAAAACCAGATGATAAACTGGAAGACTCCTAGAGGCAGGAAGGTGTGGTCTTATATTAAATATTCACTGTGTTAGGCAAAAACACTCCCCAAAACCAAAACCAAACCAAACCAGAAACCCACACACAGCAGTTGCAGAAGAGAGAAGGGCACAAAATTCCCATGTATATGCCTGTATTCTAGAATATATGCAGTTAAGTATCTCATGAATGACAGAAAAACAAAAAAGGTCCAAAGAAACACGAGGAAAACATTAACCTGATGATTGAGAAACACAGCAATGATCTTCATCATTTAGTAACAAGTACAAAAAGTAGAACTGCCAGTCTACAGAAACACCACCTCAGGAAAGACTTAGAAAAATATTTATAAGCAATAATAGAAAGGCTATGGTAGCCTACAAAAAGGTGGCTTTTTTATTTATATATATATTATTTATATATAATATATAAAATAAATATATATTAAATATATATTATATATTAAGTATATATTATTTATATATTTATAAATTGCCACTGTTAGCAACATGATGAAAATAAAATTAAGACAGACCGCAACTGTATATTTGAGACTTTGATTTTTTTTTTTTTTTTTTTAATCAAGCAATAGGAAGTACCTACAGCTACAGAAAAAGTCACTTAGAATACAGGTGCTTCCAATGTCCATGCACTTAGTGCTCAACAAGCAAAACTGAGCTATTTCTCTGGCCCAGAGGAATACAAAATCGAAAAAGACATGCCCACTCCATCGGATCTATTCATCGTTTCTGCCAAGAGACTGGCTTCTGGCAAAATTTTTGCATGTACACTTTTCCTCGTATTTCCTAATAAACATGAGATCTAGAAACAAAAGTGAAAAGACAGGGAAAGGGAGGGAAAGAGAAGAATATAGACATACAGAAAATAGGAAACCAGGCATTAACTTCAACATTAACAACACTCCTGTTTCACTTTTTCAAATGGCTGACTTGTAA